CTTATTTTCCGTTCTGATTAGGCTGATTTTCAGCCAAAAAGTACGATAAGCCCTTATGGGCATGCCAACCAGAGGATGTGTGTGTTGCTTTTCATCGCAGAGAGCAGGCCCAGATTAGCATTATCCTCATTCACAGTCTGACATTTATGGCACTTAAAAATTAGTGACTATCAAGAGCTTACAGAATACATGGCCCATTAATACGCCTTGTAAGAGAAAGACAAATTGATCTAAAATATAGTCTCTGCCTTCTATCCAAGGGAGACAAATCTTAAAAAAAAAAACAAAAAAAGCTCATCTGGACTCATGTGGGTGTTATCCCCACCCCTAGCCAGTCTCAGGGGGTCTAAAGGACCAAATTCTATCTTGTTCAAGTGAAACTCAATTAACACTTTTTTGCTCCACTGCCTCATCATTTTAACACTCTTTCCCTAAACTCTCCTTTGAATTCTTTAGCCCTGAATCCCTGAATCAACCCTCTTATTTCCTTCTTATATGGAGTTTAAATAAACCAAGAGTATAAACTGCCAAATATTATTTTTAATTGTTTTTTAAAAATTGTTTTTTTTATCGGTGCTTTCATAATTAAATTATTAACTGCCGAAGAGCAGACACTTGGCCTTTGATGTTAAATTTAGTGAAGAATAGAACAATAGAATCTCAAGTTAGAGAGGAATTGTAAAGGCTGCTTATTCCAGCTGCCCCTTTGGTTGTCTCTGAAATATCTCAAGCCTGTGCTTAAAAACATCAAGGATTGTCGAACCTTCTTGTGCACAGTGGGACACTGAAAAATATCCACGAATGATGATGGTGTTGATAAGTTCACTTCACTAAGGAAAATACATTTCCTCATTTCTTTCTTTCTTGTCACCTATCAACAGTCTTGGTTGGGGGTGGATTTCAAAACACATCTTCTACTCTATCCCCAATGTTACATTGAAATTCAGTACATTGTCCCTAGATCAGACACATGGAACATATATTCAAAGAGGATACTAATAAGCTCACTTCCTCAAGGTAGTCAAAGGCCAAACAACTGACTTTCAGCCTCTGAGGTAGTATTATTTACCTCCCGTTAGTAGGACATGTGCTTTGAATTGCTTTTTGTCTTTTGTTTTTTCCCAGGAGAAGGATAGATAGGCTCTATTTATCTATCCTTTCCCGCCCAATTCTCCTTGTGACCACAGGCACAGATTTTAAGACAATTGGCCTGTGTTTGCAATGTAATTTGTGCCAAAGGAAGCTGGAGGCCCCCATGGGGATCGGGGTCCTGAATTTCATACCAAGCATTGACATTAATAAATGACTAAAGACTCGTGTGGTGATTCTGTTGTGGACTAAACGATTTACCACTGCTTCTGTTGATGTCATTATTTTATAGAAATAGTAATATGCTGTGACAGGAAAGGCTGACACCTGGCAGCCAATTTCCTCAAATTCTCCCATGCTTCTTTCTGTCTATGTGGTAGTTCTAAATTCAGAAAGGTAGCTGCTTCTGGTGTTTTGAAAGGGGTATTTCTCTCTTGCTGCTGAGGGTAAACTTTAGGTAATGTTCTCTAAACAACCCACATGACTGAAACACAGACACTATCATAAAATAATATTAATATGGGTCTCAGGATGCCCTAAACACCCTGCATTATTATCTGCCTGTAATGTGATGAGAGGCCCCAGCATTCAACTGACGGATGGAAAAGAAGGAGCTGGAGATAAAAAACCGGGGCAGCTGTGGTGGTCTGATGAATAAAGTATGCCTGCTCTGCTTCCAAGCTGCCACGGCTCCTGTTGGCCTTTGCAGATTTCCTCATAGTGCTGGCCACAAATTTTAGGAAGGCCAATTGTCCTCTAGAGTTGAGAACTGGCCAAGTAGAATAGGAAAGTAAAGTCTATCAAACCCTATAACCAAAGGCATTGACATAGTAATGAAATAGCCCATTCTCAAAGAAACCGTAACTTTGGCCCTGACCTAACTGCTATTTTTATTGTCTTTATAACAAGATTTATGGTGTACTATGGCTGCCAACCAGAAGGTCGGCAGTTCAAATTCACCAGTCGAAACCCTATGGGGCAGTTCGACTCTGTCCTATAGGGTCACTATGAGTCAGAATCAACTCAACGGCACCAGGGTTTTTTTGTTTTGTTTTGTTTTATGACAAGATTAGGAGCCCTGGTTGCACAATGGTTAAGCACTCTGCTGCTAACCGAAAGGTTGGCAGTTCGAACCCACTCAGTGGCTTCGTGGGAGAAAGACCTGGCAATCTGCTTCCATATGGATTACAGCCTAGAAAACCCTGCGGGGCAACTCTACTCTGTCACGTGAGGTCGTTCTGAGTCGGAATCGGCTTGACGGCACACAACAACAACATGACAACTTTAATATTAAATACAAAGCTTTTGGAAGCAATTTTAGGCACTGGTTAGGTGCCAAAGATTTTGGTTTTTAACAGTGAAAAATTGTAGCAGAAGCTGGAAGACAGTGTATATTTTTCCCCAGCCATATGCTCCCTGTGAAGTTGCCTAAAATGGACCCAAAGAAATAGAATTGTGATGTGTGACTAGAAAATTGTTAACATTTGTTGATCATTTTCCATATGTCAGGGATTGTCCTAAATGCTGTGCATATTTTAATCTTTTTTACTTCTCACTACACCCCTATGAAGTGCATGTTATTACCCCTGTTTACAGATGAGTAAATTTAGAGGCTTAGGTTAAATAACTTTGTTGAGGTCCTGTAGCTAGTAATGGTAAACCTTGAATTGACCCCAAGCGGTCTGACTACAAAACCCAGCCCTTAACCACTCTGCTGTGTGAACGAGCAATATCTACAAAACTGAGCTGAAGGAGGGCAAAATGTCCTCTTCTGAAAATGGGAAAAATAACTGTAGCTATTCATAGCCTGTGATTAGGGCCAAATAAGATAACAAATGTAAAATGCTTAGAACAGTGCCCAGCCCCTAATGGGCTTTGAATAAATGTTGGCTATCATGATTGTTGTTAGTATCTTTAAAGTGAATTCTAGGTGTTCCAAATTCTTTGGCTTGCCTTATTCTCACAGGAGTCTTGGCCTGCTGGGAAGGTGGCACGGTGCCTTTCGTGAATGAGCACAGTAATTGCAGACCTTGGAGCTGAACCTGGGTGGCACTTTGAAGACAGGATTAAAGTACTAGCGTGTAGCTGCCAAGTATCCAGCAGAGCAAGGATCTCAGTGATTGGTGGAATTTCTGTTCCAGTATTTTCTCTGAAAGCAGGGTTTTCCCAGTGCTGTATTTTATAAACATGTCAAATTGCTATTTGTTTCCTGTGCTTTTCTGATAAGAGAAACATTTAGAATCTGTGCTCTGCCACTTCAAGCACTAGATACCCAGTTTTTAAAAAATGCACCTTCCTTCTTACCTCAGAGTTCCCTGTAGGAGTTGCAGTGGCAGAAATGATAGGCTCCTTTGATTCTGTGTGCACAGAGACCCCTGGGCTCTAGGAGGGCTTTGACCTTTAGTACTTACAGGGATTCAGTGCATCAGTTTCCTAACTGGCCTAGAGACTGGCTTCTCAGTGGTTATCTCCTCATCAATGTAAGTGAATTTCATTCCCCATAGTAACCAAGTTTGGGGGTGGTGGTGGTTCCGCGGTAGAATCTCGCCTTCCACAAGGGAGACTCCAGTTCAATTCCCAGCCGATGCACTGCATGCGCAGCCATCACACATCTGTCAGTGCTAGGTTGCTCTGATGCTGAACAGATTCCAGTGGCGTTTCCAGATTAAGATGGAGTAGGAAGAAAGTCCTGGCAAGCTACTTCTGAAAATCAGTGAGTGAAAACCCTATGGATCCCAACAGTCTGACCTATAATGGGGATGGCACAGGACCAGGTAGCATTTCGTTCTATTTTACATGGGGTTGCCATGAATTGGGGGTTGACTCAGCAACAGCTAACAACAACAGTAACAAAGTTTAATTGGAGCCCTCAGGAAAAACAGCAAAAGGAGTGAGCATGTATGCACCAGCACGGGGAGCCCTGCCTAATTATTATTCCTAGGTTAGACAAATTGTTT